AAAACAGACTGAAAAATTATCTATTTGAGCCGAACATTACATTATTTTTGTTTTTTAGAAAGCGTTTTAATAGTGTTTCAGTCAAAAACGGATTTTTTACAAAATTTCCTTCATAACAAATTCATTAAATTAATTATTTTGCAAGTTCAAAAATTACGAAATAAACTTTTATAAATAAATACTAAAATGTAATTTTATTGTAAAAAAAKYARGAAGTTTAACGAYACTTARTAATAAATCTACCCCASAAAACCTTTTCAACTTTAAGCTTCACCATTAAATTTAATTAAAAAAGCTTTATTTTGCAAGTGTAAATATTATGAAATAAATGAATACAAAAGTGTAATTTTGCAAAAAAGCATGTAATTTGATATTATTTCTAAAACTAAGCAAAATCGACTAATAAAAGTTTAGCGTAAAAACATTGTTTAAAAAAAAACACAAGTTTGTATTGTAATTTATTTTTGAGACACACTGTATAGTTGATTAGTATCTATCAATGTCCTATAATTTTTTTTTTAATTTTACAATTTAAAGGTCACTAATAGACTTTTTTAATTTGCTGAGACACCCTGTATATTTCACAATTTCTTAAACTAAGCTTTTAGCGTTCTTGTTTGTTTGTGACAAGATCAAAGGTAATGAGCTTTTTGAATCATCAAAGATTGACGCTAAGTAACTACTCAACAAATTAGATTATTATTTTCTTTTTTTCATAATTGTATTTCATCCGATTGTTGGAAAAATAAAATTGACTTTTAAGTATTTTGCTCATGGAAGTTTTATTTCACAATTATTTTACAAAATATAGAATTTTAATCAACAAGACTAGCCTTCATTTGCCTACTACTATTTTTAAACAATACTTTTGACTAAAATCTATCAGTTGGCTTAATTAATTAATAATACTATAATAATAATTATAAATGTTTGAGATAAAAAATCAGTTGGCAATACTGCTCGTCTCAAATGAATGACAATTGTCTATAAAAATTGGACGTTTGAGTTTGACAGTCATTTACAGTCACCCGCTATATTGAAACATTGGTAAAATTTGAAGAGATAGCGGTAGACTATAAATGATTGTAATTTTTACTTAGAAATTGAGATTACCAATTTTTTTTGTCACTAATATTAATAGTATTTTTATTAAAAGTTGTTGTCGATTCAATTTACGATTTCTCTGAAAACGAGCATGTGTACAAGATTCAGGAAGTTTCCTGAAAACACGCAAAACACGAAACGGTTCATCCTGTAATCGTTGTCCTTGAATTTTATGTTTATTATTTTCATTTAAGAGGAAATTTGCACAAAAATTGCATATTTAATTTTTTCTACGCGAATTAATTACCGTCAAGAATAAAAATCTGAATAAAACATTGTAATTCAGCATAAAAAAGCAATTAAAAGCTAAACAAATTCTGTGGCTCTATTTTCCACTATTTAAAGTTTCCCAACCTGATTTAGTGTTATGCAGGATAATTATTCTCTTCTGCTCGTTATAGTATAGTCCACTTGATAATTTTGATAAGAAAAAGGCCTACTGGGGGTGAGTTTACCCCATCGATATTCACCCCTCGTTGTCCTTGTACAGTTTCACATAAATTTCATTAAAATGGGAGACCCGAACAAACTATGTGATCTAGATCGTAGATAAATGTGACGTTCCATTTCACACAAATCGATTCAAAAATATTTATTTATTAATAGGGGTAGAAAAAGAAAAAAAAAAGGACTTGACAGCGGTGGGATTCGAACCCACGCCCTTTCGGACTGGTGCCTAAAACCAGCGCCTTAGACCGCTCGGCCACGCTGCCTTGACAAGTCTGCGCGATTACGCTCAATTTTTACTTAAATAGTAAAACGCGCTTTTTCACCACTAGTTGTAAAAATACCATTATTTACTTTGTTTGGAGGTTGTAAAGTTGTTTTTTTCTCATAGTAGTCAATATTATTTTCTTTGTTGACCAAGAGCAATAATGGATTAGACTCGGGATTAGAGATGGGGCGAGGGTTTAACATTGATATTTTTTAAACCTCATAAACATTATAACCCCACCTCTAATACTTCTGTCTTTGTCAAAACTGTTGAAATACTTATAGTAGGACAAATTTTAACACTTTTTTCCTTTTCTTAAGAGTTGCTATGTTATTTTAACAAATATTTTATATTGTATTTTTTTTTAAATAAATGCAGAAGTAAAATGATGACAGATAATAAAATAATACTACCCATTTTTTGTTTTCTTTTGTTTGCTAAAATAAGACAAAAATAAATAAAAAAACATTTTTTTTCGCCCGAAAGATTCACAAAATTTGAAAGATTTTGGCACAACAGGGCAAGAGGATCCAATAAGAGGTAGAAGTAAAAAAATTAGAACAAAAATACATCTATTTTGTTCAATTTACTGAAAAAAGSTGTAGATTCAAAATGTTTTGTCAAAACAGAAAAAAAATAGTAAAATAATTTAACAAAACTGACTATTTTTCATAAACTTTTCAAAAAAATTGAAAAAAAAATAAAAATAGAGTAAATTAGGCTTAAAAATGCTTTGTTTTTGTATTTTTCATTTAAAAAAACCGCAAGATTTRACCTATTTTACCAAAAAAGAATAGAAAATTGCAAGATTGAGACTAAATCCGTTATTTTTCTTTCTTTGTTAAATAAGACAAAAATAAGTTAAGAATGTATTATTTTCGTGTTTTTCATAACAAATTGTAAAACTTAACCAAAATGCCTTATATTTGATTATTTTTTGATGAATTTAAGTGTTTTCTATCAAAACAAAATTGAAAATTGTCAATTTTCTAT